TTTTCCATTATGTGGTAGTGCCACTTACCTTGTACTGGACCATTTTCAAAAATTTCCTTCATGATTGCTCTTTCCTATATTTAAACAAAATATAACATTTAATGATCATATATGTGATGCACTTTTTGCAAATTATATACTATTTTTTGTGGGGGACATAAATAAATATCATTCTTTCTTGTAGTAATATTCCACCAAGGTTTCAAAAGCCTAATAATGTAATGCATCGGAGCTTAGAGTTTCTTAACTTCCTAACTTAAGTCTCAAACACACTGCTTGGTTTGGGGAGGTTCTCACCGAAGAATAAATTACTCACTTGTTCAGCCAGTACATACTTTCATGTTCTCTTATAAAAACATTTACAAACAGTGTAAAAACTGGGGAATGGGAAATTGTAAGGCAGTGTCAGGGTTTCGTACCCTTCCTTGTTTTGTTGAGCTTCAGCCTGCCTTTTGCTGCAGTGTGTCTGATACTGTTTGTTCCTCTTTGGTGCCCTCTTACGACCAAACTCATAAACATCATCATTCTGCAACTACTGACAAAGCGTTTGGCAACTTTCTGTCTCAGAGTGATAATGCAACACCAGTTCTCTATTTAACCAGCAGCTTGCCCATTTAGTCTCCACTAGGGATGAGCCGAACACCCCCGTGTTCGGTTTGTATTCGAACATTCGAACGGCCGAAATGTTCGAATACAAACTCGAACTCAATGCAAGTGTATGGTGGTCGAATGTTCGACCCCCATACAGCTGCCGGTACATGTAGGAAAACTGTGGCTGCAGCGGCCTGTGTCCCTTCAAATCCCTGCTGCTCTCAGCGCCTGTGTTGGCGGAGACAGCAGGGACACAGACCGCTGCATGCCTTCGCTGCCCCCCTTACCTCCGCTGCTGTCCCGGCCTCCGGTCCCCTGGTCCGTCCACTGCTGTCCCGGCCTCCGGTCCCCTGGTCCGTCGGCTTCGCCTACGATCCGGTCCGGCTGCGGCTCCTCTGCCATGCACCCTTGCCTCCTCTTCATTGCAGGCTGGGAGCCATACCCAGCCTGCTGTGGGATATTGTAAAATGCAATAGCCAATAGCAAGCTGGCTATTGCACCCGCCCACTGCCTGCTGTCAATCAGCATGGAGGGAACCTGATAGAGAACTTTCTCCTTCAGCCCCCCGCCTCCGCTAAGCCCTGATTGGGCAAAGTCTTGCACCTGAGACTTTAACAAATCAGAGCTTCAGTGGGCATTTTGCATTATGGAATGTCCGCGGTCGAACAAACTGTGAACATCCCATAAAGTTCGGCGTTCGGCGAGTGCTCGAACTGCCAATGTTTGATTCAAACTCATGTTTGAATCAAACACTCGGCTCATCACTAGGCTCCACCCTTGCATTTGTTCAGATCTACCAAGTGCTCTGCTGTTGTTCCTATTCTCAGTGTAAAACCCTGGCTCTGGCTGACTGATCTACTAGTTCCTGACTATGGCTATTGCTTCCATGCATCCTGCTTTCATTGTTCCCTGACCTGGTTTGGCTTACTACCCGCATTGGCATCTGATCTCTGGCTTGGTATCGACGACGTCCTGGACTTTCTCCATAGTTTTTTGCCATTTTGTTTATTGTTATTTTCAGTAAACTTCTTTTATTTTTTAACCTGCACTTTAAGTTTCTGTTTGGTTTCTTGGTTCCCTGACAGCGAGTCTATAACTACCAAAGGGTTTCTTGAAGTCTATTTTTCTAGCAAACATCAAAAATTAAAGGAAAAATATACTTTTTTTTAATAGCCATATACTTTAAGTTATTGAGTTATTGAACGTTTGTAATTGTAATGTTATTGTAATATTTACCTGAAAGTAATTTTAAGTGACATTTACAGTTTTACACGTTTATAACAAAATGCCATAATTAGCTACCAAAGAGTTTCTTGATGTCTATTAACATCCACTTACAAAGCCATTCAAGACTCTGACTCTGACTATACCTCAACCTTGTCTCAAAATATCACCCTTACTATTCTCTCCACTCCTCCCAAGACTTCCTACTCTCTAGCTCCCTCATCAACTCCTTCCATTCTCACCTCCAGGACTTCTCTCGGTTCTCCCTAAATCTTTTCTTGATTCTGCCAATAACACCCTTACTGTCCTAGGGTGACAATGCTCACTCACTGAAATAGCGCAAGTCCATTTTTACATAAATGCTCACTCACTGTACTATATGTATAGAGGAACACTGCTGTCACCCTGGACACGGCTACACAACACATTTCCCTCTCCTCCTTTCCTAACAGGTGGTGTTTTGTAGTACAATGGCATAAACTAGACAGGGCTGAGAACACTTCTTGGGATTTCAGAGCAAAGCAGAAAGAAAGCTTAGTGGATTTCTGACAGGAAGCAAAAACCTTGGAAACCTGACCAAGTTTTGGTATGCAGCAGTTTTCTCAACAAAAAATACAATTATTGTTAAAAAAATGTATCCCGTCATCGCACTCTCATTCAGTTTTTGCTCAAATACCTCATTATGCACAGACCAATGTAGATTTTGAGCATTGTTTGTCAGCAATACTAACTGGCTGAATTTCGTCAGATTTTTACTGTTTTGCCTGCCAAAATTATTTTTCATGGTGTTTTTTAAAACAGATATAGGGCTTTCAAAAAGATGAGACCGTACTAACTTTAATATTTTTGGGCTAAAAAAGTGTGCTCTTGTGAAGCAGTGAAAAGCAAAGATAAGATAAATTGGTGACACTTAAAATTAATTCAGAGTTGAACTAAACTGACAGTTCTAAAAGTATTATTCTACATTTGGCATGCTTAGGCTTGTTTACTATGCAATAGAGGTTTATATACATCTGTTTTTTTCTGACTGTGTGTATGTGCTATGGTGCTGTGTGTGGTCGAGCTCGTCACTCTTTTTTTTAGGAACATTTAATTATGTTTTATCTTTTTAATTTTTTTTTATATTTAAATGTAATACTATTAGAAGGGACTAATACGACCTCTATGGGATAGTAGTGACAGGTCCCACTTTATGATATCTGAGGTCTGTTAGACTCCTGTTTCCCTTCTGTGTAAATAGCTCAAGCTGATCTCTGTGGAGAAGATCAGGGGATGGATGTTCCTTGATATTCTCTACTCATTTTCGATTCTGAAGCTCTCTGCACCATTCCCATGTTCTCATGGAGAAGACAGATAAGCCCTGAAACACGTGAGAAGTGGTGGTGGGGGGACATTGACATTCAGTAGAATATCCTGTCAGATAGAAGTGATTGGGAGGCTTTACAGCTGCCCATATCATTTTAATAATAAACAGACACACTACAACAGGGGTGCCCATTAGGTAGATCGTGATCTACCAGTAGCTCTCAAAGCTGATGCTGGTAGATCACAAAGGGTGTGAATGGTGGCCCCTTATTCCATTTTGGTATATTTATTTAGCTGTGCACACATGATTACTTATTAGCCTGAGTCTGCTGAGCCAAGCTCCCTGACACCTCTCTGGTGGATACTGGTGGTTGAAGTGCTGCTATTATTACATCAAAGAATATTAGTTTACACAGCCTGTTACACTACACTGTTTGCAAAATACAGCAAGGTGAGCTAGGAGAGAGAGCGGGGAGAGACAGACAGGAGAGAGAGCAAGGAGAGACAGTCAGGAAAGAGAGAGAGAGGAGAGAGAGCCAGGGGAGAGAGCAAGGAGAGACAGCCAAGAGAGCGAAGAGAGACAGCCAGGAGAGAAAATGAGGAATGACAGCCAGGAGAGACAGCCAGGAGGATGAGCAAGGAGAGACAGCCAGGAGAGTGAGGAGAGACAGCCAAGAGGATGAGCAAGAAGAGACAGCCAAGAGAGAGAGGAGAGACAGCCAGGAGGATGAGCAAGGAGAGGCAGCCAGGAGAGTGAGGAGAGACAGCCAGGAGGATGAGCAAGGAGAGACCGCCAAGAGAGAGAGGAGAGACAGTCAGGAGGATGAGCAAGGAGAGACAGCCAGGAGAGAGAGAGTGAGGGAGGTTTTTTTATCGTTGGTAGATCTCATGTAGCTCATCGTTTGAAAAGTAGAACTCAAACAAAAAATTGTGGGCACCCCTGCACTACAACATAAAAAGAAAACAAATCTGCAGCAACTATTACAGCCATGGGTTTGTTTTCATCTTTTCACTGCCCCACTGTGACACAGTTGAAGCGAAGTTCATTGTCAGGGTTGAATTGTCCTTTAACATAAATAAGACCTGCATCTGTTGTATTTACTACCAAGCCCTCTACGATAATCCTTAAAATCAGTTGACACTCAGAAAATATATTTGGCTTCCTACAAATTGACTCTGTGTTGGGCTGAACAGATTGAACATGACATACTTACATTTGAAGGTATTCTGTAAGGTGGACTGCACTGATAGAGATAGTTGGAATCAACTAAACTGTTGGGGCATGGCTTTGTTGCATAACTTTTTCCATATTTGTCTGTATCACTTGATAGATTACACATGGTATGCACATTATTAATGTCGTCTGTTATATAAGGATAACATTCATGTGACACCAACCTGGAAAAAGTAAAACATTTTCAATTATATTGTATATGTTTACATAATTAATTGTAAGATCATTAACAGATAATTAATTATTGCAAGCTGATTATCTGGAATTCAATTAAAGGAGGGAAGGAAGAAAGGAAGGGGCTGTGCAAAGTTCAAAGGCAATGTGCAAGTTCAAAAGCACATTGCAATTGAATACAAATCTTTTATAGAAAGAAAAAGACTGCAAGTTAGGATTTGTAACACTAGATTTTACCAGGCTTTACCATGTAACTTTTTTGAATAACAGAGTCTCTTAAAGAGAAAAAAATAAAATGACTATAGTTCCCCCTTCACACAACATTTTATGTATTTATTTATTACATTATTTACTGCAGAGAAATACATTTTTAATAAAAAAAAGTGTATCCTTATTTACCTGATAAAAGTTGAAAAAAATTAGACTGGGGTGCTGCTGTTGTATTTACACCAAGCTAATTATAAAGTTACAACATTGTACTGTTTCATAACACCACATAGAGCTTAAAGGCATCTCTCAAATATTGATATTTTCCCATGTCTCCCTTGAAGTTACATTAAAATTACCCCTCTTCATGCTGTACAGTATTATTATTTTTTTTATTGTTAAATGTCCCTCATGACAGTGAACAGCTGTCCCCACTCCAATAGAATTCAATAGAGTTCACTGCTAAGTGTGGGTTTTGCATATCTAAGGCAGTATTTGACGAATTCCCTTGTGAATCAAATCCGGGATAGCATAGCTTATCCTTAGTGTATTTCCGAGGACTAATCAGACTGTATGCTAAATAATGCCTTCAACGTTAAATGTTTTTTATAATTTGCTGTTAGCAGCAGATTCACCTAAATTGATTTAGCAATACATTACACATTCAGCTACATTTGCTAGGAAAATGCTTGCCAACAGCACATGCTCCACGCTAATACAACACTGTAATTATTATAAACATTGAATTGTAACTTGGGATTTTGCAGAAAATCCTGCAGGGCAAACATGCATGGATTTGCTGGGTCTTTAAAGAAGAACTCTGGGGAAAACTATTATTAACCCATGCAGTGGGACTAGGGAGGAAAATAACAAAGTTATATTTACCTGATCCTCTGAGTCAGCTTGCTCTTAGACCAGTCCATGGAGCCTCTTTCCCCCCTTGCTGCAGCAGTCTGAGGTCCTGTAAATCATTGCATTCTATACATGGGGTCTATTCACCAAGCTGTGATCGGCTGAGCCGAACCTCCGGCGGGCTTCTCACTGCTGTTTGGGCTATTCTTAAAAATGCCGAACAGCAGTGAGTGAATGGCCAAATGCCATCGGCCATGATCGGGAGCTGTACGGGCTATTGTGAATAGCCCTAGCCAAAGGATAGGCCGAAGCTACGGCCAGATCCTTCGGCAGCTTCGTGAATAGACCCCATAGTGTATAGGACATGAGTATGCCGAAGGACATTGCTGCAGCGTATGAGAAGAGAGGTTGGAGGGACTGCTGTCACGGATTGGGTGAGTATAACTTTGTTATTTTCCTCCCTAGACCAAAACAAGCAGTTAACTCTTGTGATGTGAGGGTAGCCCTACTGCAAGTGTTAATAATAATTTTCCGCAGAGTTCTGTTTTTTTTACCCTATGTTTTCCTATAGAGATATATTCCTTCTGACTGATAATTTTCAGTGGACAGTTTATCAGACAGTAGCATTTCTGCTATTATTTACTGTAAAATTGTCTTCATAGTGAAAGGATCTTTTCACAGATTCTGACACATTAAGATGTACTTATTCTCAAATGACAGACATTTCACAGCATGCAATTATGTTTTTATTCTCCATTCCTTCCACCTTTTTTCCCACTTATTTTTAAACCCCTATATAATCCCCACCACACATACCTTTATATAATATACTTAAAGGTAAAATAGTATAGTATATAGTATAGTATATATATAGCATACAGTATAGGACAGTTGTATACATTTTATTTGATTTATCATTATATATATACACCAATCAGCCATAACATTGATGATCTTGTTACATTGACATCTGGAAGTGGGTGGGATATATTAGGCAGCAAGTGAACATTTTGTTATTTATCTAGATATATAGATATAGATATATCTATATATATATAGTATATATGTATTTGAAACATAAAGATGTATTGCACTCTCCAGTCTCTCTATTAGTGCAAACAGAGACCCATCCATGATTTCTGTCATAAACATCAATACTTCCTCTAGCCATCGTGCAAATCTTATGCAAAGTAACTAGTAACAAGTGTTCCCCATTAGAAATGCCCACTAATTGGAACTTTCACCATGCTTTCTAAACCTTAACCCTTCATATGCCTTTCATGTCCATTCACCACTTGTCATGAAGCTGCATGCGAGAAAACCTTCCAACAATCATTTCTGTACATAAACATATATAATAAAGATCTCAAGATATAATTTACGAAAACAAATTCAGATCAATATCTATATTTAATCCAAATGGTGGTAATGCATCCAGATTGTTTATCCATTTCACTTCTTTTCTCTTTAACATCAGTTCTCTATCTCTACCCCTCATTAATTTGGGAATAAAATTGAACTGTGAAATTGTATGCTCCATTTCCACAACACGTCTGACTAGTGCTATTACAATTTATCATGTATGATATATTTGTGTGTGCACATTGTAAGTCAAAAAGTGTGTTAAGATCAATGCTTGATCTTAGTAGAATGTCCCTTTATGGATGATAGAAGGATTCCCTCCTCCATCCCTGAGCATTGAATGCATGACAAGTAGGAAAACATTACCATATGTTTGGGTCCCAAAAAAATAATAGTGTTCTTTAACCAGAGGAACATAGTTAAGGGGTGAATGGACTTAGAAAGGATGGTAATTTCCAGTTAGTGGATATTTACAATGGGGAATAATTGTAGCAAGTTACTTTGTATAATATTTGGATGATCGTTTGAGGAAGAGTTGATGTTTATGACCCGAAAATTTTGCCCATGTACTTGAACTGATGCATTGGACTTTGTAACCATTTTGCAAAATAAAAAGATAAAAAGAAGATGAAAGTGCTGCAACTTTGTGCTTTATTGCTTTATTTATATATATAACACATGAAACATATTTATATACATATATATATGTTTCATGTGTTTCACTGTAACAAACAACCCATTGTTCTCCAGGGTTGCTTTGTTCAAAAGTTTAATTTAAAAAATTAATTAAACAAACATTGTATACTCCTAGTTAGAAAAAAGCTAATTGGAAACATATTAACTCTAATCAAAAATAAAAATAAAATTGATCTAAATCATTTACTTTACATTTGGTGTTTCTGTTCTGGAAGCTGAAGGGTGAATCGTAAACCAGTATTACATGTTTTGAGCTTATTGATGGTAGACTTTGATCTAGTCTTGGGATTTACAATGTCAGCTTGTTGTCAGGGTATCGTGCACTGGTGTCCTCACACCGCATGCAGGTACCCACACGGAAGGACCAAATATGTGACCACACCAGAAACTGCCACTGAGCTTATATACCGTTTATTATACACATCAAAATATAACACAAATAACCCCACCAACACCCACAAGTAACCACAAACAAGTAATAGTAACTAACTAAATGTAAACACAAGCACATACATCAAGTTAACAGGACAAGTAAACCCAGGGAGCAAAGTAACACAAGGGAAGCCACGGGGGAAAGGTCAGGGTACTAGGGGGCACCAGGATACAGGACTGGGACAGGACTCAGGACTGGGACAGGACTCAGGACATGGCAACAATACTGAGCCAAAGTCCTGACTGCAGGGAGGGATTAAATACCCTCCCAGGTAGCACCAGGTGGTGAATAATCGCTGACAGCTGGGAGACACCCGCAGGTGAGCACTGGAGTTGCAGGTTCCAACCCCACCCAGTAGGGGTCTGGTACCTGACAGCTCCTGGCTGCCTGGAAACACCTGCAGGTGAGCGCAGGAACCGCAGGACCTAGTTCCAATGCCACCTGGAGGTGCTATGGTTCAGGACACTTGTATTGTATGAATAATTATAACCTAAAAACTTCTGCTACCTTATTGTGAAAAACTGAGCCTTTTTCGTCACAGCATGTGCACGGTTCAGGTGTGCACGCAATGCTTGTGATTGTATTATCATTAAACAGAGCAGTTAACAGGCAAACTGAAAAGAGACAGTCAGAGTGGCCCTGTGCCTTGTAATCACTGTGAACTAATCACATCAATAACAAGTATAACAAAATTAAACAATTATTCCCCTTCCTCAAGTTATAACACTGCACCCACCGACCACCAATGAAAGGGGTGCACTCCAAGCACCAAGGGGCACACTGAGCAGCAAAGGGATACACTCAGCAGCAAGCATACACACAGGAGGTATATTGACCATAAGGGGGTACACTCACCACCAATGTTATGGGGAAAAAACACCACTGACCACTAACAGTTATGGGGTACTCACCATCAACCACCACCCTACAGGGACACTGACTCCTGACTGCTAAAATGTGCAAGCTGTTTTGTGCATTACATAGTCCTGGCCCCTGAATTCTGACTGCTGAACTGTATAGGCACTGTATACATTATTTTCTGAACTAAACTAAACAATTTTGGAGGTGTTTTTTACTGCCCTGGCATTTTAGTAAACGTGATAACCAGTCAAATATCCGTTTTTTTGTTGTTTTTTTTAAAGGGGTCTTATTTCCTTTATGTAGTATAAAATAAACCCTAAATATTAATAAATACTACCAAAACAAAAGCTCTATTTGTTGAAAGAAAATTATATTGAAAATTGGTTTGGGTACAGTGTTGCATAGTGAAGTAATTGTCAGTCAAACTATCACAGCACTGAAAACTGAAAAATGGCTTGGTATATTCAGGCTAGTACTGAAGTTGATTAAACATCAAATCATGATGAACAACCATGTAAACATTATCAGCAGAAATTCAGTATGTGACAAAAAAGGGAAAGATGTGTAACTAAAAGTGAAATAAACAATTTGTTATAGCTAATATGTTCAATCATGTCCAGCAGATAAGAATTTACTGTAATTAGTGTTTGTTGCACATACTCTCTAGTCTAAAATATATTTACCCACGTTTTCTCAGGAACCACCAAGCACCATCTATGTGTCCTCCCCTGCACCCATTCTGATTGTGAACATTACAAGAAATCAAATGTTGAGGAGAGAGGTTTGATGTGTAGCGGCCCTCAGAGTGTATTGCTATCCGATCTGCTGCAACACCTGCAATAATAAGAGCGCATATTTCTTGTTAAAATTAGCCATCATTTATTCTTCCAAGAATTCCATGGCATTCTTTGCATCTATACTGTCATAACCTTATTGTAATTTCATAGACACAGGAAATCATTTTGTATAAACAAACACAGAGACTGGTGTGAGCTCCCCCATATTTGCTTATCATTGTGTATAGTGTTACAAATAAACCCAGAGTGCATACACAAGGTAGCTGTTTGCAGAGTTAAGCATTTGTGCATTTTTTTAACTTTCCCCTTAAAACTGAAACAGTTAATATCAATACCAATATACGGACATTTTAAGTGTGGGACTGTGAGGTTTTGATGCCAGTAAACATATATTCATAGGAGTTGAGCTCACATTAAATTACAGGTTAAAACAAACTAAGCATCAGTTCTGTCATGAGAGCAGGGGTAGGCCCATGCTCCTCCATATCTGGAAGTACTAGGCATTTTCCTTGCTCCTGATAGCTGTACAGACCTAGGCCAGGGTTAAGGGGAATTCTTTTAAAGGGTTTTTCCACTTTTGCAGCCAAATTGGGGTAACCATTTACATAGCACAAGCTAAAAAAAAGTTTAAACTGCTTTTACTTGAGTTAGATTTTTAAGTGTTAAGATTTCATTTTGCTTCTTTCTCTTTGAAATGTTAGGAGAGGCTGTGGAGATGGTGTCCTTTGTATGTTAATTATGCGAATGAGTATACAATTCTCAAATTTCAAACCTAAGTCTTTCCATTAGGACAGATCACCATGAAGGTGCCGAGAAAAATCTGGAATCAGCCATCTTGCATGTTTTAACAAAACATCTAAAAGGTAAGACATTTATGTTGAACTTTTCTTTATGCTGTGTGAATAGGATCACACATCAAACATATAGAGATATTAATAGACATATTACAATAAACAACAATAGACCCTTTTTGTTTTAAAAGCATAACTGTCAGTGGAGCAATATGAAATAATTAACTTAAAAAAAACTAGTGCAAATTACTTTTGTTACTTATATTGTGCAGCTGCTCTTGCGACTGTGGCCCTTGTGGGAAGCTGCTATGAAGTAAGCAGGACTAGGCAGGATGTGAGTGTGCCAGCCTGTGACAAATATGCTGTGTGTTAGCACAGAGTCTTGTATATTTCAGGGAGGAAGCAGGGGAGCCACCTGACCAAGCTAGCAAAGCTTGGTCAGGAACAAACAGAAAGGGCTCAATGTGCAAGGGGAATGGAAGGATCACAAGGTACTTACTGAGCCTTTTACACCTTACTTATAAAAAAACCATCAGGGTTATTCACAAAAAGGTGAAGAGTTTGGAGAAGGCAGGAGAAGTGAACAATCTAGGATAACATAGCTGATTTTGGAAAAATTCTCCAATTCAGCTCACTGTCCAGTTCAGCTATATTGTCCTCGATTGTTCACTTCCTCTGCCTTCCCCAAACTCTGCACCCTTTTGTGAATAACCCTGTATATTTTTATTTGGGAAGGTAGTCCGAAATTTTTATAATTGAGGTTAACATACACTTTAAGGTTAGGAGGCTAACTTTTAAAGTATAGATTAGTGTTAACCCTAACATTTAAAGTGTTTGGGTAAATGTTTAATAAATCCATTTAAGTTTGGAAATATATATGCAAAAATCAGTCATAAATCCTAACTTGCCAGGGTACAGGACTAAAAAGGTGGGAGACTTCAGTTGGGCTCTAAGGGCTAATTTTTAGTTGGTCGGGTTAGAGAAGGGGCAACATTTTAAGGGAATAAAATGTTAGGGTTAAGTTATTTAATTGTTCTGGTTAGGGTAAAGCAGAGTTTCTATAATAGCAGGTAGGTAAAGTGATAAAGATGAATTGTTAGAGTTAGGTTAAGGTTAATATGCAACCTCTTCTAGAAAGGTGGAAGAATGGCACATGACATCAGCTAATGTGGCACTTGAAGCACCCCTCCAGTCCTGCTGGGCATACGGGCTAATATCAGCATGTAAAATTCTTACAATCTTGCAACACCCTTGCAACAGAAATACTAGCTTACATGCCTACTGTGCCAGAGAGACCACACATTTTTTCTAAAACTGTCATCTAAGCATTAAAAAAATGTATAAAAGAAGGAAAAAATACTAAGAAATATCCACAAGCTCCAAATTAGATACATCTAAAACCTAATATATTGATTTATCACATTGATGTGTAATTCTAAAAATGTAGAATTTTATACAGTGAAATGGGATCCACGCAGTGAGAAATATTGAAGTGCTAAAAGCCTCTGTGTGATATCTTGGTAAGTTGTACCCTAATTCATTAAGATAATTAGTAACTTCTTAACTAACTTAATGTAGAACTCTGGGCAAAATAAAAAAATGACATAGATAATGCAGTCTGTCATTAGCATTAACACAGCATATTTTATTTTTTCTGATCCCCCTGTTTTATTACCTGTTGATCCTGCCAGTATGCCTGTTATTTCATTTAACAAACAAAGCTGTCCAGCAAAAGTGTATTGAGGGTTGAGGCAGTAAAGTGTTAAGACTAAGGATGAGTTAGGTTTGGTTTAAACCAAGTCCAAACCTGACCTTCTCTGAACCCGAAAGGATGCTCCCTCCCATGCCACCGAATAAGATGTGGTTGGGGTATTCCTTGCCCGCAGCTGCACGAAAGGTTTGGATTCGGCCATATAAGGTCAATTATGTAGAAACAAGCCCATTTATTATGTGCAGCTGAGGGGTGGCGAATTAGCGGAGCTATGATTCAGACCAGGTTCACTACTAAACCTAAGTTCATCCTTATTTAAGCAAACATGTGTCCATTTACATTAGATTACCCCCAATCCCCCATGATTAGGTCTGCCAAAACAGAACTCTGTTCCGTTTGGTTTTCCAGACGTTGGGGGTAATTGGATGTAAATGGACATACGTTCATTTACATCTGGCTGCCAATAGACTAACACTAGGCTTCCGATCAGATCCAACTAAAAAACTGACAGGCAGACCTGAGCGGAAAGCCTGTCTGAAAGGGGCCTTAGTCCTCAGAAAAAGAAGTGAGGGAAAATCTCCCCAATGGGCAAAGACAGGAAAAAAACTGACATTGCATAAAAGAAAATAATGTAATAAAGTTTAATATGTATAAAGTTTAATTGGTATTACTTGCTGTGGAAAATGCCCAGGATGCTGCACAATTTTTTTGATCCAAAGGCCTGTGGATATACTGAGGCCATTTGTATGTAGAAATGAAATACAATGGAAATTCCTCATCTGGTGATACTCGAACCTAAAATAAAACAGACAGTTATTTAAAAGGTTACAGTACAGGACCAGAATACTTTTAACAGTTTAGAGTGGCAATCATAGGCATGCATTGTCTTTAAATTATATCTAAACCAAAGAACATAAAGGATCTGCATGTAGTTTACATGTGCTTACATGCAATGGCTGCATTAGCTTTCTTCTTTAAGTCTAAGTACATTTTATAAAAGTGCAAAAAATACCTGTTGACATTGCCAGAATGCCAGTGTCCGTGTAACTTCCTATGGACTAAATTGAAATCTCTAACAGATTTCCATTTTTCTAAGCTATCTTCTGTACTGAACTACAAATCAACATCCCTCTATGCAATGGAGATTGGATACAGCGCATTTAGAGAGTGCACTCTGCCGAGGACAGGTGTGTTTTTGGCAGAATTGCCAGGTGCAAAAAGAAAAGAGAGCCTGAACAATTAAAACTAATGCAACCACCAACTCTAAGGACTGGTAAAATGCAATATGTAACTTTTTTCTTGGATTTAGAAACACTTTAAAGTGACTTTTTAGTTGAAAAAAAGTACTAAAACAGGACCTGCAAAAGAAGAGCTCTTATTCTCGCCTGTATCAAACATGTTCATTTGGTCTTCATAGAGCAATGACCCCTTATTTGTCAGATACTTGTATCCCCACTGTGTGCTCTGATTCCTTCTGATTACCCTATATCCCTATATAGGGCATGGTAGTTGTGACGGACTGAACCGTCACCAGGGCTGCTGGAGGAGCCTGAGGGCTAGCCTCCTTCCTACAGACCACAGACCTAGGGCTGCAGAGATTTATTATCCCGGAGAACTTTGGGTGCTGTGTGTGTTTCCAGTTTAATATTTCATCTAGAGAGAGAACTTGTCACTATTTGCCTTGATGTGAACCATTCTTCTAAAGGCAGCAGGCTGTCTGGAGTGACCATTGTTTGCAATGATGGGATTAAGCTCCTCTCTAATTAAGGACATTCATCCCAAAGAGTGTTTGTGCTTAAAAGACTTCTAATGTGGCACCTAGCTGTCTGGGGGAGGGGACACACTGAACTCTAATCTGATCCTGTGAGGTATAGACTTTGTTTGCTTCCTTCAAAAAAGCAGATCTTGGTTTCCACCTCAACATTGGTGTTGTCTAATGATTGAGTGGGTTAGCGTTCTGTCCTAATATATTGGTTCTGTCCAATAATTAGGAGCTTTGGGCTGAGGACACTGGAATTCGGGTTCCAGTGGAGAGGAAGCTGATTTACGGACGGAGGTACCCATTCGGGGTACCAGGCGGTCCGTCACAGTAGTAATGCAGGGGTCAGCAGAAGGAACTACTCTGCATGATATGGGATGCAGACATCTGAACTTCCAGGAAGTATCAAATGTGGAGGTGATCATAGTTCTATAACACAGCGAAGATCAGAGGGGGGATTAATATTCTATTAACTAAGCAACAGAGTTGCTTTATACATACAACACTTAGTGATGATTTACTATGACTAGCTCTATCATAACACTAACAGCAGTTATAATAAAATTAATGTAAAATATAAAATCAATGTAAAAGTCAATTCACAAACACTGTACAAGTCATCGCTTCATAAAATAAGTTAATTCAGGCTATTGAGCAAAGCAGGAAACAAGCCTTTGGAGGTGGTGTCATGCGAGACGCATAGAGCACTCCAAAGCAGTGGCCGATCCAGGGGGGGGCAATGGGGCAATTGCCCCCCCCCCGAGATTAGTGTGCTGCCGCAGCCACCCGTCCCGCAGTGTGTCCTGCGGCCTGATGGCTGGCTCTTAGCAGAGCCGTCACTACTACACAGTAGACACTAGAGGGAGCTGGTGGGGGAGGCCAGAAAACACTTCCTCACCCAGCTCTCTCTAGTCTCTACTCTGTGCTCTCTCCGGAGCTGCTGGCGCTGTTCCTGTCCCCTGTCCTGGCCGAGATATTTACATATGAATGGGCCGCGGTGATTTGCATATCAATAAGCCGCAGCCCATTCATATTCATATTCATATGCAAATCAATGCTGACGCCCCCCAAGGAAGAAGAAACTGCCTGACTGCCTGAAGACTACAAGAACAAGGTAAGTTTAAGCATGTGTTTGGTGTATACGTTTGTTACATTGGCGGTCATTGTGAACACTTTTGTTACATTGGCGGTCAGTACGAATAGTTTCGTTACATTGGCAGCCGGCAGGGCCGGACTGACCATCGGCCATACCGGGCAATTTCCCTGCATCTCCCTTCCCCCGCACCCTTCGGCGGCCAGCAGCTTCGGCATAGGGGCCGGGGCGGGCCGAACATTAGGCTGATTGTGTTCGGCCCGTCCCGGCACCTATGCCCGAAGCTGCTGGCCGCCGAAGGGTGCGGGGGCAGGGAGATGGTGCCGTCAGATGAGCTGCGGAGGGGATCGTGGCAGGCAGTGCTGAGGTCCCCACCGCTGCGACCCGTCCTGTAGGCAACCACTACGCCCGGCCGCTGAAGCTACAGCTACATCTCTGTCGGATGCAGACCGTGTTGCTGAATCTGCGCCGACACTCGGATCCTTGCGGCCAGCGCTCTTTCAGTGAACGCTGGCCGAAAGGATTGTGAAGAATTGATTGGTAAGGTCTGGGCTGGGGGGGCACGGACTGGGGTTGTGTGTGTGCGTGTGTATATATATGTACAGGGGTTGTATTTTTTTTACGTGGGTGGGGGGAGTAGAAGTGTAACAGGCTGCATTCACATCTTTATTTTGGGTGCAATTAGGGATTTCTGCGTCAGGAACTTGCGTTTTCCTGCAACAGAAATCCCTAAATTGGCGTTTACAAATGGCAGCTGTCACCTAAGTTACCGATCAGGTGACAGCAGCTGCATGTAAACGCCTGCACACCGCATGTAAAGATACGTGATATGTTTACATTCAGTTAGGAATCAATCACTCTCCCTGGACGCATCGATTGTGCATTCAGGGAGAGTGTTTTCTAACCGCATGTGATCATATCACATTCCATTACATGCGGTGTGCAGGAGTTTACATGGAGCTGCTATCACCTGATCATTAACTTGAATAGGTGACAGCTGTCACTTGTAAACGCCAGATTAGGGATTTCTGCTGCAGGAAATCGCACGTTTCTGATGCAGGAATCCCTAACCACACCTAAACCTACAGATATGAATAGGGCCTTATTGTGTGTATATTTATGTCTGTACTACTTAAAGGAGAACTATGCGGTTAGGGCTTTTCCCCATAGTCCTCCTAAGGGTAACGGGAGGACACAAACTAGCGTCCTCCCGTCACCCTAAGCTCAGTATACCGCAAGCTTAGCTTGCGGTATACTGAGACGCCGCAGCTGAAGCGGATCCCAACAATTATGTCTGGATCCGCCCAGCTGCGTGAGTGACAGCTGGCTCTGCCTATCTAGAGGCAGAGCCAGCTGTACCCACCCCCTCCCC